CAAGAAAGATGAAGGCTGGTCGGAAACCTGTTCCCTTGGAAACAGTTGAAGCAATCAGGCACTTTTATGAAGAAAATTCAAACCAGTTGCCGGACAAAAAGCTGGTCAGCAAAAAGAGCCTTAAACCAAGACATGTTATGGATGTTACCATATCTAACTTGTATAAGGAGTACACAAAGCAGTTTCCAGACAAGCCTGTGTGCTGCTCTGCTTTCTACAAGCTACGGCCAAAGCATGTGAGATACAAAAGTCAAGCGAAATATGTCGGATGTCTATGCGAGTATTGTGAAAATGTTCAGCTCAAAATAGATGCCGTAAACCATGTTAAACCAGGAACCATTAAGGATGCTTACAGTCTAGTGTCACTTTCCATGTGTAGTAAACCGTCCCAAGCTAAATACAACCTTCCTGCATGTATCACTAGAACCTGCACTGAATGTGGTGTCGAGAACCTTAACAACATATTGCTGGATCTAAATGACTCACAACAAGTTACATGGAAGCGATGGGATCTCATCGAATCTGTCTGTTACAAGAAAGAGGCCAAAACTGTGAAGAAAAGGTCACTTGTAGAGAGATCGGGAACTGTAAAAGAATTGATAGCCGAGCTTAAAGAAGAAATTGAACCATTTGCTGAACATCTCTTTAACAAGGATTGGCAACACAAACAGGAGTGTGATCTTAAAGAAAAGTTAAATGCTAATGAAGTGTTAGCCATATATGACTTTGCGGAGAATTTTAAATGTGCCTATCAAAGGGAGGTACAGAGTGCTTACTACTCACACGATTCAGCAACCGTACACCCAATAGTGACCTACTATAAGTGTAATGAATGCACAAAGCTTGTGACAGAAAGCTGCGTCATTATCAGTGATGATCTTGTACACGATTACCATCTAGTGAACAAATTTCAGCAAATAGTAACGTCACACTTGACTGAAGTTAGAGGAATAACTTTAGAAACCTTCTACAGGTTTAGTGATGGCTGCAGTGCCCAATACAAAAGTAAAGGCCCTATCTCGGACATCAGTTATGCGATGGAAGACTACGGTTTTAATATTATCCACAATTACTCCGGGACCAGACATGGGAAGGGGCCCAGCGACGGGGAGAGTGGTGTCATCAAAAGACATGCATCAGATGCAATTAAAGCAGGATCAGTGATAATCAACAACCCAAAGGCTCTCTTCAAGTACTTAAAGGAAAACGTGGAAAAGGGTTCCGATGAAGGAAACTGCTGTTCACCATTTCGCCGCTCTATACATTTTGTTGCTTCTCAAGATGTAGACCGAGAACGCCAAGATAGAGAAATTTCAACTGTACCAGGAACTAGGAAATTGCACAGCATAATGAATGTCTCTGGAGGCATAGTGGCAACTCGAAATTTATCCTGTTTCTGTGATGGGTGCCTGCGAGGTATTGGTGAATGTGTAAATGGCATGTATGTTAAAATCTGGAAACAAGTTGATTTAGGAGGGAAATGCAGTACCAATGACAAGCGAGTGAAATCCAAGAAAGGTAATTTATCAGTTATGATTGATTATCATGCTGTTTTAAAATTCTGTTTTGAAACTATAAACTCATAACTATAAACTCATTTTGTTTATCTTTTTTTTTCATTAACAGCAAACGCCAACACCATCCACGTGGATGTTGCGCAGCACCCCGACAAAGCAGCAGATGTTTCTTCAAATAGTGACACCGCCAACCAGAGTGAACTTGCTGTAGATGTAGCATCAGAGAATTTAATGGACAAGACACAATTAGATGAGTAAGTACAAAGTTCCTATAAAAACCTTTTTTAAAAAAATTTTAATTACTGTATTAAAATAAATTTTTTACATTCTTTATTCTATCTAGCATAAAAGCAAATGATTTCGTGGCTGTGAAGTTTGCAGAAATGATCAAGAACGGAAAACCATGTGTCTATATGGCGATGGTAAGATTTAATTGAACTTTTATAAAATTTATGTGTATGTTTATAAAAGAATAGTTTAAACACAGTACATTAATGTTTCAATTTCAAAGTTTAAATTCGTACTTGTCCTCTCTTTGTTCCTTTAAGGTTACTGATGTACACGAAAACTGCCAAATTCAGTTGAAGTTCATGCGGAGAGTCCAGTCATGTTTCTATGACTTTACGTCTGAGCGTCAGGCAACTCATCCCTCCAGTGATATAATTAAAATTATGACAGAGCCATCCATTGAACAAGTCAACAGGAGATCGTACCTTTACCGATATGACGACAAGGAAATTGATGTTCTCTCATATCAGTTTGAAATGCGATAAATAGAATGGGAAAAAAATGAACTGCATGCACAGTCCCCAGGACCTGCACATAAGTGTTACTAACTAACTAAATATTAAAGTCCATTTTATGTATATTTTTGGACTGAATTTATAATAATTTTTTAGGGTGCAGGTTTCGATCCCTATAACTTGTTAGGAGACCATTTGTGTCCGGGACCTACTGTGAATATGACCACAGCAAAGCTTTTGCTTTCTTCAGCTGGGAAACACAAATTTAGTCTCAAACGCAACTATAAAATGCAACTCATGAACTGTTAGTTTAAAAATGTAATTGAAATGTAAAACAAAATGTAGT